ACAGAGTGTATCGTGATCCAGCCTGTACTCCTCTTGACATGCCAGAAAGTATTCTGAGGAAACTACTCCAAGCTTGTACTAAAGAGGCACCCTTCTTGAGCCCGGATGGGCACATGTATAAGCAAGTAGATGGGGTCGCCATGGGTTCTCCCCTAGGTGTCCTGTTTGCAAACTTCTACATGGGTACCATCGAGCAAAAAGTCTTAGTCGACATGAACTTGAAACCGGCCATATACTGCAGGTATGTTGACGACATTTTTACACAGGTACCTGATGTCAGACATCTGCAGGAGCTGAAGGAGGCATTTGAGCAGAGTTCCGTGCTGCGTTTCACTTACGAGACTGAAAAGGATGGGAAGCTGCCTTTTCTAGATGTAACAGTCATGGAAAAGGGCGGAGGTTTCCACACTGCAGTCTACACTAAGGAAACAAACATAGGAATGTGCCTAAATGCCAACAGCGACTGCCCTGACAGGTACAAGAGGAGTGTTGTTAACGCATACGTCGACCGTGCTCTCAGCCACAGCTCAGAATGGAAGCAAGTCGACGAAGAACTCTGTAGGGTAAGGCAGGTCCTAGTCAATAACGGCTTCTCCAATGGTTTCATCGAAGACATCATAAGAAGGAAAGTGAAAAGCCATGCAACCTCTGAAGAGACAACTAACACAACACCTATACCCCCTATTAGACTATTTTACAGGAACTTCTTTTCCACAGCTCATAAAACGGAGGAAAGGGTCCTGAAAGATATTGTTAATAGAAACGTTATCCCTACAGACAAAAATCAGAGGATACAACTGACGATTTACTATAAAACCAGAAAAACGGCCAGCCTACTCATGAGAAACTCTCCAGACACAAAACAGAACGCTTTAAAAGAGACTAACGTCGTCTATGCCTTCAAATGCCCACTTGGGGACTGTAAGCTCCAAAAAACCCAGTATATAGGCAAGACAACAACATCTCTTTCTAGGCGTTTAACGATGCATAAGCAACAGGGCTCCATTAAGGAACATATATAATCTCTTCCCATAACCAAACCATCGCCAGAGAAATCCTAGTAAACAACACAGAAATCATCGATAGATACAGCGATAGCAGGCGGCTTGACGTTTGCGAGGCACTACACATCAAGAAGTCAACACCAGCAATCAACAGCCAATTATTGCACAACTATATTCTACCCACCTCAAGACTCCGCTCCAATATAGAAGCATCAAGAAATATGGACCAATAGGCTTTCTACAAACACTTCTATTCAATACCCATTGTTTCTGTTCTGTCTTGTGTTGATACTTTTAATACCCTATTAATATCCCCTCTTGTTCTGTCTTGTGTTAAGGCCACATCACCCCTCCCACCTCACTCAAATGTAGATATAAAATCAGAGATACGTAAGTTCTAATCAGTTGTGTATTTGTGAAGTCTTTGAAAATGTAATAAGTTTTACGAAACGCGCCCGTGTCGCGTCAGACTAGAAATAAAAATGAATTTTGGAGAAGTGATTTTTTATTTACCTCCAACAGTGAAGCGTAATGTACGAAAGATTGAGAAAATTCGTGTTAGAATTATTAATCTTACTTTTTCGGTCATATTTAATAATATATGTCTACAGGAAAGACTGCTACCAAAATATACTAATATATATATATATATATATATATATATATATATATATATATATATATATATATATATATATATATATATATATATATGTATATATATATATATATATATATATATATATATATATATATATATATATATATAATAAAAATTTCACATGGGCTTTCTGAAGGCTTTTTAAGATGGTGGGGGTTCGATTTTAATTTAGGTATTTTTGCCCTCTATAGGAATATAGTATGATGAATGAAATATTTCTCTTAATTTTCCCAATATCAGGGGAACAATGTGTTAAAATATTCAAAGTTAAAAACGATAGTAGTTTGCCATTGGCTTTTAGAAAACCTTAGTTGTTGGAATATCGTCTATTTTATACTACAACGGGCAAAGTATGATCATTAGAATTTTTTTATTAATTCTTAATTGATCAGTGCTTAATTTTTTATATTACTATATGAAACCAATTTAAATTATTATTTTGTGACGTATTTAGCCAGTCATAGCTAAAATCAGTCGTTGGGGGTCAGTATGTGACTCTGGCACGCCATTCTCTTGGAATTCTGGCGACCCCAACGTGACTATCACAGCCCCATACCTCAGACCATTCACTCTGCAAAGTTGGGTGAGCCGAAATCCAAGTGTCTGTCCTCCAACCTTAAGCAAACTGACATTGACTATAATCTCGACCACAGTGATCTTAAAAGCTTCACAATGACAGCAGCTTTAGCTGCTGGAGTTTTAGTAGAAGAATCTGTGGCAGAAGAATCAGCTTAAGCAGGAGATTCAGATGAAGCTGCCACAGCAACAGCATTAACGAGAGGTGAAGCTGCAGATGAACGGGCTTCAACCACAGAAAATTATGAGGGTGGAATAGAGGTATTGAATGACAGAATCACTGAGGGAAGAAGGGAAGAAATTGGAGGCCAAAATCTGTGAGGAAATGAAGAAATTGGGAGCATAAATTTGAGTGGGAAAGACGAAGGGATCCTTCGACAAAAGCTCGGAGCAAAGGAAGACAAGAATAAAGGATGGGAACAAAATATAAACGATAGAGAAGAGAGGAAGAGAGGCAGGATAGGACAGTGAGAGATTAAAACGAGATCAAGGAGAGAAAACATGGGCAGTAGAAACACACAGACACACACACACACACACACACACACACACACACACACACACACACATACATACACACACACACACACACACATACACACACACACACACACACACACACATAGACACACACATAGACACACACACACACACACACACACACACACACACACACACACACACACACACACACACACACACACACACACACACACACACACACACACACACACACACACACACACACACACACACACACACACATACACACACACACATACACACACACACACACACACATCAAAGGACTGTACCAGAACAAATCCTGTTTCTCATCTTCATGAATGACTTACCAAGAGGAAATATAACCCTTGCTATCAAGTTTCGCTGATGATGCTAAAGTGTTTTGGGATAACATATGCATTGGAAAACTTGAAGAAACTAAAGGATGACATAGGCAAAACGGAAGAATGGTCCCACATGTGGCTACTAGAGTTCGACTCTATAAAGTGCAAGGTAGTGAAGTCTATCTCAAACAAGTGTAGAGATATTCTTAGCATAACGAATTAATATTGCCAAATGTAATAATAGATCAAGCAAGATATTCAATTCTCACAATGTATTATACATGATATACAATACAGGCAATGTATTATATCCACGGTCTCTATCTCTCTGTAATAATCCTCAGGTTCTGAGAAAAGAATTTGTCAAGTTATTTATAAGAAAAGGAGGATCTAGTGGCCGCCTTTGACATGTAAAACACACAGGTGATATATGTTGGAAAGGTTGAGAACCCCCCCCCTCCCTTTACCCTCTTTGTTGCTTGTTCTGTGTCCTTGCTCGTCTGTTTGTTACTTGTTCTCTGTCCTTGTACGTCTCCTCTCTTCTCTTTGTTGCTTGTCGGCTCAGCCTCCATCTTTCTCATTCGATTGAATTGATTTGAATTGGATTTATGCTGTTCAAAATTTTCTTTTATCCTCTATGATTATTTCAGTAATGATATATGTCTATATTAGTTGACTGACTAATTTTTATTGACTTTATTTTGATCACATTATGAGGACGAATAGCTATTGTGGCTGGTTGCTCTGTAATGGCCTTTGAACTAGATAATTTAGAGTTAGAAGAGTCGTCAAATATTTTCTGTTAATAGACATGACTCTTGGGCTCTTGTGGATGTTGAGACTCTTCTGGAGACTCTTATGGATGCTGAGGCTCTTGTGAAGACCTGTGGAGATTCTTATTGAGGCTCTTGTGGAGACGTGTGGATGCTGAGAATCCTTCGTCTTCCCAGATCGGAGCCCATCTGTCGTGTGGGGGATGAAAATAGTTAGTTTCCTTATAAGTGGTATTTGGACTTTTCCTGCTGAGCCACACCCTTATTACCATCTCCTGAGCCACACCCTTATCACCATCTCCTGAGCCACACTCTCATCCATCTGACTCTTTTCCAACCCTTGACCTCACTCAACCACACCCCCTTCGACCTCTTCACTACCCTTCAGCTTATTGAACCACACCTACAACCCCTTAACTATCCTCTCCCTTTCCCTTAAAGCTTACCTTCTCCCTTAACTTCACTGACCACTCCTTCCTACCCAGGTATTCCTACCTGTAATCACTACCTTGCATCTTGTACCTATTCTTGGTGAGAGAAGAAGGGAGAGAGCAGATGGGACGGTGGAGATGGTGTGGGGGGGGGGGGGCTGGGGGTCTAGGTGAGAGACGGAAGGAGGGAGGATGAGGGACGGGGGATGGGAGGGATGTGGCGGGAAGGGGATGGAAGGGATGCTGGGTAGCAGCAGACAAATGACTCAATTATGGTAAGCGACTCTCCCATCCGCGATGATACCTCACCTAATATTTGCACGTAACCCTCTCTCTCTCTCTCTCTCTCTCTCTCTCTCTCTCTCTCTCTCTCTCTCTCTCTCTCTCTCTCTCTCTCTCTCTCTCTCTCTCGTAAGCTATGTGCTTATCTCTGCCTCTCAGACCAACAGGTCTGACAGCTCTGTCAGGATCTCTCTGACTCTCTCAGGACTCTACTCTATGTTCAACCACTTGGGTTGGACGGTAGAGCGACGGTCTCGCTTCATACAGGTCGGGGTTCAATCTACCTCGACCGTCCAAGTGGTTGGGCACTATTCCTTTCCCCTAGTCCCATCCCAAATCATTATCCTGATGCCTGTGCTTCAAAGCCGTAATGGTATAATATGCACATATGGTTCACCATTGTTTTAAACAGGAGCCATTCAGGATTATCTTGGTAAGCCTTGGCCATATCTTAGTAACTCTTGGCCATATCTTGGTAACTCTTGGCCATATCTTAGTAACTCTTGGCCATATCTTAGTAACTCTTGGCCATATCTTGGTAACTCTTGACCATATCTTAATAACTCTTGGCCATATCTTAATAACTCTTGGCCATATCTTAGTAACTCTTGGCCATATCTGGGTAACCCTTGGCCATATCTTAGTAACTCTTGGCCATATCTTGGTAACTCTTGGCCATATCTTAGTAACTCTTGGCCATATCTTAGTAACTCTTGGCCATATCTTGGTAACTCTTGGCCATATCTTAGTAACTCTTGGCCATATCTTAGTAACTCTTGGCCATATCTTAGTAACTCTTGGCCATATCTGGGTAACCCTTGGACGTAAATAGGCATTTCCCAGAATGCAACCGACAACAGCTGCTTAACTTCCAGGGAGTGTGGAGGGAGAGTGTGGAGGAGCAAGAGTGTGGAGGAGCAAGAGTGTGGAGGAGGGAGAGTATGGAGGAGCAAGAGTGTGGAGGAGCAAGAGTGTGGAGGAGCAAGAGTGTGGAGGAGGGAGAGTGTGGAAGAGCAAGAGTGTGGAGGAGCAAGAGTGTGGAGGAGCAAGAGTGTGGAGGAGGGAGAGTATGGAGGAGCAAGAGTGTGGAGGAGCAAGAGTGTGGAGGAGCAAGAGTGTGGAGGAGGGAGAGTGTGGAGGAGGGAGAGTGTGGAGGAGGGAGAGTGTGGAGGAGCAAGAGTGTGGAGGAGCAAGAGTATGGAGGAGCAAGAGTGTGGAGGAGCAAGAGTGTGGAGGAGGGAGAGTGTGGAGGAGCAAGAGTGTGGAGGAGCAAGAGTGTGGAGGAGGGAGAGTGTGGAGGAGCAAGAGTATGGAGGAGCAAGAGTGTGGAGGAGCAAGAGTGTGGAGGAGGGAGAGTGTGGAGGAGCAAGAGTGTGGAGGAGCAAGAGTGTGGAGGAGCAAGAGTGTGGAGGAGCAAGAGTGTGGAGGAGCAAGAGTGTGGAGGAGCAAGAGTGTGAGTGTGGAGGAGCAAGAGTGTGGAGGAGCAAGAGTGTGGAGGAGCAAGAGTGTGGAGGAGCAAGAGTGTGGAGGAGCAAGAGTGTGGAGGAGAAAGAGTGTGGAGGAGAGAGAGTGTTGGGTCTCTGATACTCAGAAAGGCTCAAGTTTTAATTTATCCTCCAGCTTTAATATAACTTTTTATGCCACTTGTTGCTGTCTCAAGATCTCCCAGACGCGAGAGGGAAGGGATGGAGAGAGAGAGAGAGTAGAAAGAGGGAAAGAGGAGAGGGAAGAAAGACAGAATTAGTGTGAGGAAAGGACGAGAAGGAGGGAAGAATTAAGGAATACTAAGAAGATTTAAGAAAGGAGAGGTGTGAGGAAACAAATGAAAGAGAAGGAAAAGTGAGGAGAGAAATATGGTAAGTGAGAGGTGAGGGAAGCTTGGCAAAGGGAAAAATGAGTCAGGTATGAGGGAATTCGGAAAAATGAGTCAGGTATGAGGGAATTTGGAATAATGAGGGCTGTTATGAAAGACCCGTTCAACTGATTCGGTCGTTGCATACCTCTGTTCAGGCGATGGACCGGTTGTGTGGTCCAGTGATGTCTATATGTGGTCCAGCGCCGTCTATATGTGGTCCAGTGCTGTCGATGTGATCCAGCGCCATCTATGTGTGGTCCAGAGGGCCATTTGCGGCCCTCATGGCACTGGGCTCTAGGTGTACCATCTCTGTCATGCCAATTGGCACTGAACGCCATTAGAGAGAAAGTGACAGTACCAGGATCTGAACGTGCGGTTCCAGGAGGCTTCGAACGACGAACGGCTTGAATTTTCGAACGTGTGGTGGCTGGTAGTGTGTCTGTGAGCCCTATACAGTGAGCCCTGGATAGTGAGCCCCGGATAGTGAGCCCCGGATAGTGAGCCCCGGATAGTGAGAGTGTGGCTTCCTGTCCCCTGAGAGTCCATGGATGTTAAATTATAACTTTGTGTCATCTAGAAATACTTCATGACACCATAACACACTTCCTGACACTCCAGAAACACTTCCTGACACCCCAGCAACACTTCCTGACACCCCAGCAACACTTCTTGACACCCCAGCAACACTTCCTGACACCCAGCAACACTTCCTGACACCCAGCAACACTCCCTGACACCCAGCAACACTTCCTGACACCCCAGCAACACTTCCTGACACCCAGCAACACTTCCTGACACCCAGCAACACTCCCTGACACCCATCAACACTCCCTGACACCCAGCAACACTTCCTGACACCCAGCAACACCTCCTGACACCCAGCAACACTTCCTGACACCCAGCAACACTCCCTGACACCCAGCAACACTTCCTGACACCCAGCAACACTTCCTGACACCCAGCAACACTTCCTGACACCCAGCAACACTTCCTGACACCCAGCAACACTTCCTAACACCCAGAAACACTTCCTGACACCCCAGCAACACTCCCAGACACCCAGAAACACTTCCTGACACCCCAGCAACACTTCCTGACACCTAGCAACACTCTCTGACACCCAGCAACACTTCCTGACACCCTAGCAAGACTCCCTGACACCCAGCAACACTTCTTGACACCCAGCAACACTTCCTGACACCCTAGCAAGACTCCCTGACACCCAGCAACACTTCCTGACACCCAGCAACACTTCCTGACACCTAGCAACACTCTCTGACACCCAGCAACACTTCCTGACACCTAGCAACACTTGTCAACTTAAGTGCAGTAGCGCCCGTGTGCGACAAGTGTCCAACATGTCATGGGGCGGAGCAATTTCCTCGGCAGACCTTCATAAAAGTTTTGGAGGTGCTCCTTAGAGCCTGCAGCGGTGCCTCGATAACCAGATGTCAGGGTGTTGGAGGGAGGGAGGGGCGTCTTGGAGGGAGGGAGGGAGGGAAGTAAAGTGGGATTGGGATAAGGGATGGGAGGGATTAGCAAAGAGAGAGAAATCGAGATGGATTAGCAAAGGGAGGGAAATAAGGAGCACCTAGAGAAGAGAGGGAGGTGAAGAAGAGAGAGTGAGAGAGAGAGGGAGGGAGGGAGGGAGGGAATTATATAGGGATTAGGGAAGGAAGGGATAGAGGTGGAAAGGGATTAAAACAAGAAGGTAAAGCAAGAGAAAACATTGAGGAAGAGAAGGGGAAAATTAAAGGAACGGAAAAAGAGGAGAGGTATGAACACATGGAAGGGGATGGGGAGGAGGCCAGGAAGGTGATGGGGAAGCCAGGAAGGTGATGGGGAAGCCAGGAAGGTATGGGGAAGCCAGGAAGGTGATGGGGAAGCCAGGAAGGTGATGGGGAAGCCAGGAAGGTGATGGGGAAGCCAGGAAGGTGATGGGGAGGCCAGGAAGGTGATGATGGGGAAGCCAGGAAGGTGATGGGGAAGCCAGGAAGGTGATGATGGGGAAGCCAGGAAGGTGATGGGGAAGCCAGGAAGGTGATGGGAAAGCCAGGAAGGTGATGGGGAGGCCAGGAAGGTAATGGGGAAGCCAGGAAGGTGATGGGGAGGCCAGGAAGGTGATGGGGAAGCCAGGAAGGTGATGGGGAGGCCAGGAAGGTGATGATGGGGAAGCCAGGAAGGTGATGGGGAAGCCAGGAAGGTGATGGGGAGGCCAGGAAGGTAATGGGGAAGCCAGGAAGGTGATGGGGAGGCCAGGAAGGTGATGGGGAAGCCAGGAAGGTGATGGGGAGGCCAGGAAGGTGATGGGGAAGCCAGGAAGGTGATGGGGAGGCCAGGAAGGTGATGATGGGGAAGCCAGGAAGGTGATGGGGAAGCCAGGAAGGTGATGGGAAAGCCAGGAAGGTGATGGGGAGGCCAGGAAGGTAATGGGGAAGCCAGGAAGGTGATGGGGAGGCCAGGAAGGTGATGGGGAAGCCAGGAAGGTGATGGGGAGGCCAGGAAGGTGATGATGGGGAAGCCAGGAAGGTGATGGGGAAGCCAGGAAGGTGATGGGGAGGCCAGGAAGGTAATGGGGAAGCCAGGAAGGTGATGGGGAAGCCAGGAACACGATAGGGAAGCCAGCAAGCACTCGAACAAATCCACAAGGGCCGTGACGAGGATTCGAACCTGCGTCCGGGAGCATCCCAGACACTGCCTTAAGGACACCGTGGCCCTTGTGGATTTGTTCATTTGATGCATCACGTTAGTGTGATCTCTGTGTGTGCAGCAAGCACTCCTTCTCTCACACAAGTGCCTGTGTGTAATATGCCAAAAAGTTTCGTATCAGCTTACTACCTCAACATCCCTTCTGGAGTCAATTGAATCTCAAATTACTTGAATTTCCGTATCGTTGTCCTGTAGTTCAAGGCACGTATAGTTGGGAGTACCATTTGGTGTGGGTTCGAATCCTCCGCATGCCCCAAATGATGTCCCTCATATTTTTATTATCATTGTTTTCACATCATTGGAATCACATTGATATTTGTTAACTAGAACTGTTTTTTTCTATGCAGGTAAGATAACAAGAGGATTCTATATGTGAACTGCATACTTCTGTGAGTACTTTTAGCCATATATTATAAAGGGTTTATAAAATTGTGAAATTAAAATTTTAATTTGATCACCAGCCTGGTGACAAAAAAACTTTCTATAATTTTAAATATTTCAGGAGATAAAAAGCATCAAAATTCCTTTCTTGAGGTAGAAGAAATTGCTTTCTAGTCGTCTCACATCTCCATTGTGTTGAAAGCTACATATTCTGTATTTAGTGAAGTATAATTGCTTGACTTCTCACTACATATGTAGATACATATGGTTTATTCTAAACCTTACAACCCTTTTCCAAACCTGTGAGCTGAATCTCTTAGTACGTTGCACCTAATGCCCCTAATCAGTGGTGCAACCAATCGCTGAAAGTATTATATATTGCTACTACCAATCACAAAAACCTAATTATCTGTTTACAATCATTACAGGATCTTATATATCTTGCAACAACCAATCCAAAAGAGGTTTTGGATATATATATTTCCATAACTTCAAGAAGCTGTTATATATTTATACAAAAACACAATATCTCATCTTCAAACCTCATCTTCCATCAGCATCAGATGCCATCTTACAGCATCAGATGCCATCTTACAGCATCAGATGCCATCTTACAGCATCAGATGAGCCATCTTACAGCATCAGATGCCATCTTACAGCATCAGATGCCATCTTACAGCATCAGATGCCATCTTACAGCATCAGATGAGCCATCTTACAGCATTACATCTCAGCTCATAACATCCCATCTCCCTGTTCCAGCATCCCATTTCATCTCCCAGCCATATAGCTCACCTCACATTAATATTTTTATTGAGAGAAGTAATATACAGTTTTGCCTATTCAGCATAATTAAATTAGATCTTATTGCAGTGAGGAGGCAGTTTTCAT